ATGAAGAAGGGACACAAAACTTGTATAGAAACAGACTAACAGAAAAGCTAAATAGCCTAGAGGTTAAAAAGAATATAGAAGAAATCTGGAAAATTATTAAAAAATGTATACTAAAAGCAGCGAAAAGAAGCTTTAGGTAAAAGAAAATTTAACAGAAATAAACAAGAATGCAAAACTCCATGGTACGAAGAAAGGGTGAAAGCATTAGCAAATGAAAAGAAACAAGCTTTTCTAAAATCCAAAGGAATGAAGATACCGGAAGCCCGAGAAGACTGCGTGAGAATCAGGAATAGAGTAAACCAAGAAATAGATAATATCAAATAAGAACACTAGATATGGAACAGATATGGATCACAGATATGGAACACGACCTCTATGGATCCCAGAAGAAGGTGTGGAAAATGATAAGGAGACAAAAAACAGAAATAAATGAATTTGTACGCGTAGATAACATTACGGAGGTACCGTTCCCGTCATAAAAAACTGGTACAACTCTTATAACCGAAAATCGTGTTGTTCAAGTTGTGTAAGTTGAGCTTGTCACATGTGTCATTCTAATTTCGGAGGCAACGTTGCCAGTTCAACAAAAATATTATATCAAACCAGCTAAAAGCAGGGCTGTGTGACAGTTCGCAAGTTTTTAGTATACTAAAAACTAAAACAATATCGAGCATTCTCGATCTGTCAGTCACATTTATATTTATACATTTATTTAAACATACATCTTAAAAATTCTATTAATTTTGAAATTTTCCATTATCTCAGTACCCATACATTGATTCGTGTTTTATTATAATTTATGAAAATATTTCAATTCAAAGATAATGATAGATAATAAATCTAGACATGACTTTAAATTTATGTTTAATTTCAAATCGAGAGGCATGATTCGTTTCTCGTAAAGTGTAGCACAAAACTGTATTGAGTTGTCGAATACTACAGTAAATAAAACTCACTGGAAAAAATTAAAATTTAATTTGAAATTAATAAAAAATGAATAATTTTTACAGTGAACAAGTGTGGGATTTAAATATATGTATTACAATTCGAAAAATTAATATTTTGTCATAGCTCCATTATTATTAATCACTTCTTGTAATCTTCTGGGAACTGAGTTAATTAAATTTAGTGACAAATTTTCATCTTCGGCCAAGCTTTCCCAGGTTTCTAAACCTCCTCTATACATCCAAGCCCAAATTGATATACACGGTCCAAAAATTGATTGGATCATTTAAAACGTAATTTAAAGCAAATAGGAGTCTACTTTGTTTATGTTCCTCGCTAAATTTGTATTTTTGGGCGGCTGCACAATTTTTTAAATCTGTTCTTCTAATCCTCTTTAATGCTGTAGTTATAGAAGCATTAAAGTTTGTATTAACTTTTGCTTGCCTTGCCGTATGGAAGGGATACGCTCTTAAACAATTAGTTAATGTTTCATCTTGTTGGACTGTAGTAATAACTGGTCTCCCTCTCCTTCTCTTTTTATCCAAAGTCTGCTCGTTTTCCCATCTTTTTTTAATGTTGTGGATTGTGGTTTTGCTTCTATTTAACTCTTAAGCCAGTTGCCGAATAAACCAACTATCTTCTAATTTTTGAAATTATTCTCGTTTTGTCAAACTGACTTAACTGACGTGGCATCTTTAAAAATTCACTTTGACAAACTTGTCAAATCTGACTGATGGCAAGCAATATTTTTTATGTTTAATTTTTATGTTTAATTGTTCGGATATGTTCGGGAAGCTTTCACGCACTGATAACATCTGTAGATACTAAACCAACATTTTTCAGTTATAATAGGATTTTTTACAGTTATAAGAGGATAATGTAATACTGTCACGTTTTGAAAAGCGTTTTTTGCCCCGGATATTTTATAGTTTATAATCCACGTAGGATAAAGTATAATGTTAGTTTTTCACATTTATCGTTCATGTAAGAACTAATAAATTAATTTAGGTAGTTTGCCTGATACTAAATTTATTGACATAACATACAGTTAACAGTTTGTGTTCTGTAAGTAATTGAAGTATAAAATTACAGTAGATGCATTCCAATGTTCCCTGTGCCAATACCCTAAGTTTAAATATCGTTCAACATTTTGGACATTAACTCAATCCTCTTTCTGGTTATTAAATTATAAGGTAAGGCTTTTTGTTAGGGATGGGAAAAACCTACCGGTTTTAACCGAAAACCGGTTTTTTTACTTCGAAATAACCGGTTTTATCGGTTGTTTTTTTGTCCCGGTTATAACCGGTTTTTTATTTTTAAAGTAAAAACCGGTTATTAGGTTTTTACAGTGATTAGGATTAGGTTAGGTATTATTTTGGATCCCACCCAATCATAATTATTATTCTCAAGTAATTATTCCAAACAAAACTAAAATTCAATTTTTATTTTATTTTATAAATACTGAAAGTGCAAGCTCACATCAGCCAGAAACAATTAAATTTTATTATAGTATTTCGTTGAAAAAGTATTTGTAATCATAATATTTTTACATAAGAACTGATCTGGTATTTATACATCATCTATTTTTCACACTTGACTCTTGACATTGAAAGTGGGTAAATGGCTTTTTCTGATTACCAAAAATAATGACTATGAATATCGAGTTACCGATTACGAATACGAATCTCCAAGGATTTCCCTACGTTTTCAAAACGATTTATACCCATACCGGAAGTCGTAAATGAGTTAAAAGTAATACATGATAATTTTTTTTGATGGTAGTAAAAATAAAAGATGAATTGCATTATCCAATTTATTTTTAAGTAAAATATTTATGTTAATATTATTTTCTTTAAATCCCATTTGAAAGAGTCTGGGAAATTTTTGTTGGGGAATTTTTTTCTCAAAAAACACAAAAAATTGTGTTGTATTTACATTGATATTGATGTTCTTTCGATAGTACTAATTTTGATCATATTGATATCGAGTCGAATGTAGTATCGCAAACTAAAGTGCATTGTAAATGTAACTTTCTAATCTATTGGATTAAAAAAACCGAAAACCGGTTTTTGGAAAAACCGGTTTTTTTGGCCGGTTATAACTGCCAGGTTAAACCGTAAGCAAAAAAAACCCGGTATAACCGAAAAACCGGTGTTTTGTCAAAAACCGCCATCTCTACTTTTTGTTGCTTATAATAAAAATAATACCTATCTAAAAACTTTATACATTTTTAAACGTTATTTTTTACGTTTTATTTAAATTTACTGAAATTTCGTTATCTGTGATGGCAACAACGAATTGATTCACGAACCATTGTGTCCAGTCTGAACACAGGTTTACATTGGGAAAAAAAGTGTACCAGTTTTATATGACGGGAAGTGTACAATGGACTAAGCATTACACGAGATTATATGGAGAAGGAGAAGAGAACAGAGAAATAATCATTAACGAACCCACGATACAGTACTAATATCAGAAGAAGAGCTACATGAACAAATGAAAAAATTATAAAACAGAAAAGCAACTGATCCTGATAAGATAAACAATGAACTGCTAAAATATGGAGGAGGAACACTACGCAAATGACTCCTAAAATTATTCGTCGACATAATAAATACCAGAGTAGTACCAGCAGAATAGAAGGAAAGTCTCCTGCTACCGATACTTAAAAAGGGTGATTCGAGAAATCTTGAAAATTATAGAGGCATTAGTCTGATGAATAGTAAATTAAAATTGTTAGCGGCAGTCATAAAAGATAAAATCGAGGGAAAAGCGAACATGTCAGATGAACAACAAGGCTTCCGGAAGAACCGCAGCATAATAGACGCAATTTTTGTTATCAGACAAATAATAGAGAAGTCTATTGAATATGGAAAACCAGCATACATGTGCTTTGTAGATTTAAAAGTGCTTTTGATAGGGTGAAGCGAAATGACATCTTAAATTTATTACAAGCTGAACAAATAGACCATCAGATAATAAGTACAATTAATGAAATTAACAAGAACAACAATAGCACAAAGACAGCTCCACACCTTCAATATCACAACAAACAAACTTAATATGAGAATATCAACAGAAAAAACTAAATGTATAGTGATCAAAAAAGAGCCGCGTAGATGTAAACTAGAAATATACGGCAAAATTGTAGAACAAGCTTCTTCTTAGTCGTTAACCTGATGCAGGTATCGTGATATCATGAAGCTGTTATAGGTAATTTTTCCAATGTTCCTCCACGTTTTTCTATCTTCTGCCAATCTAGCACATTCTGACAATGGGAGCGCCAATGGGTAGCAACAATATGGTCCGTGTATCGTGTGTAGAACAAGCAATGAAATTCAATTACCTAGGAGTAGAGATCACTAGTGACAGGGATATAAGAACAGAGACCACAAGGCAAGCATCAAAAGCGGCAAGAGTAAGTGGTTGCCTCCGAGAAACCATATGGAGAAAACAAATATCTGACCACGGAAAGCAAAATGAAAGTATACAAGAGAACAGTAAGACAAATCCTAACATAATCAGCGGACACAAGGACCGATGCAAGAAAGACGAAACACCAAATCAACAATATCAAAATGAAAGTATTAAGATCAATAGCGGGCATATCATTAAGAGACAGACAAACCAACAGAAATATACGCGAATAGTGCAAAATTCAAAATATTAAGAGGTGGATAAAAACAAGAAAAAAAACTGGAACGAACATGTAAACCGAATGGGACCCGATAGGTTAGCGAACATCTGTAAAAACAACAAGCCGTATGTCAGAAGACCCGTTAGAAGGCCGCGAAAAAGATGGAAAGGTAATGTACAGTCAATAACGACTAAACAGAATAAGAGGCAGACAAACAGGAGTAATCCTAGTCGCACGAAGAAGAAGAAGAAGATCAACATTTCTTAAGCCGCTGTTATTAGTCTATGTCTATATACTTCATATCCAGAGTGCATTAAAATTGAGTCATCGAAATAATTAACAAAAAGTACTTAAGATATGACATCTCCAAAATTAACAATAAATCAGTTAAATAGAAAATAAATAAAAAAACACTCACCTAGGAACTGAAGGAGTTTTGAATTCATTCTCTTTTTTCTTATCACTCCCATTGTCTGTGCTTTGGCTAGGTGCACTTTTGACCCGTCTTAAAATTATACGATCCATTTGTGTAAATTCTTTGTCTCTAGAAAATTGCAGTCTTAATCACACAAATAATTATTTGATAAAATTCCAGGATATATCCTGAAAATAAAAAAAAATATGTATATTTGACAACAATGTAGCCCAAAATTAATGTGATATTTAAATTTGTTTAATTTATAACACCACACTCTGTACCATAACAATCGTTAACATAAAAAAACAAGAGGAGTATTATAACATAACTTTTTTGCATATAATTTGTATATCTACGAAATCAAATTACCTGTATCACATATTTACATCGAGAAAATATATTTTAAAAAACTATTTCATTTACGGTCGTAATTATTATTATGCTTTTAGCTATCTTTCTTACTTTTAATCTGTCTTCAAAGTGAATTGAAAATTTCATACACTCTACAAACGCCATGTATGGTGTCAATGAAAATAAGTAATAAAACATCCAATATTAATATTCAATATTAATATTCTAATAATACTATAGAATAATGGGGTAATACTTTAATTTAAAATAATGGGAAAACTATTTTCTATAACATCATAAACAAAAATATACTTAAATACTAATATTGAAATATGTACCTAAATTTTTGAATTCAATATACAACATAATAACGCCAGCATAAAACTAATATTGGAAGATATATTGAAAGATCATTTAAACAAGCGTATAGAATATATATACTTACAGTTTATACACTTTTTTACTTTCTACTTTTGTAAAATTATTCTACAATTATTTGTTCACTAATACATTAAAATTAAAATTTCATATTTGACATAATTAAAATACAAATGTCACGATCCGGCCCGACTAATATTGTCAACGTCATATCATTGGCAGGGTTGATTTTAAATTTAGAAGGGCTTAGTTGTTATAATTAAAAATGTAAATATTATATCTTCAATTATTATAAAATTAACTTTATTGTTTATTATACTTTATTGTTTAAAAAGTACATAATAAAAACGTTTAAATGGACAAGTTTACCACTAGCACTTATACTGTAAATATTATTTTTATAAATTATTTAATGCGTTATTGGATTTTCATCGAAAGAGTGACGTATATTTTTATTATAAGTGGAGTTAATTATTATTTATAACTGGGAATAAGCCACAATTAAAGATAAAAAATACGTTTATTGACGTTTCAATTTCCAATTCGGAAATCGTTCTCAAAATACAAACATTAAATTAAACAAATTTTGTTTTTTGTTACATAGTGAAAAAATTCTTCTAATTATTTAATTTTATCTGACTCATTTATATTGACAATTCAGACATACATTATGGCATTTTAAAGTAGACGACTTTAATAATGATATTGCCAATATTGTTGAGTTGCGCTCCTGGGACGACTTTACTTATAAGATAGTTCATTTGATTACATGAAATCAACTTTAACTTGAGAATATCCGTCAGAAAAAATCATAGCATCTAATTCGTCTTTAAAAAGACAAACACATGACATGATGACAGTAAAATTCTCCTGTTAGTGATTCCATAGTAAATTATGAGGGAAAAACCAGGAAAAAAAACCTCATAATACTATCCCGACATTGTAAGTATTTGTTCGTGAATTTAGTTTACCTTCAACAAACATCAAAAATTCTGATTTTATATGTTACGTAATTTAAAAACATAAATGATGTATCCTCTATATGTTACTGACTTACTAATACTGGTATTTTCTTATTAATAACTTCCTCTTTTAATATTGGTAACCAGATCCTACTACATTCATCCTCATAATTTACTATGGAATCACTAACAGGAGAATTTACTGTCATCATGTCATGTGTTTGTCTTTTTAAAGACGAATTAGATGCTATGATTTTTTCTGACGGATATTCTCAAGTTAAAGTTGATTTCATGTAATCAAATGAACTATCTTATAAGTAAAGTCGTCCCAGGAGCGCAACTCAACAATATTGGCAATATCATTTTAAAGTCGTCTACTTTAAAATGCCATAATGTATGTCTGAATTGTCAATATAAATGAGTCAGATAAAAATTAAATAATTAGAAGAATTTTTTCACTATGTAACAAAAAACAAAATTTGTTTAATTTAATGTTTGTATTTTGAGAACGATTCCGAATTGGAAATTGAAACGTCAATAAACGTATTTTTATCTTTAATTGTGGCTTATTCCCAGTTATAAATAATAATTAATTTACAATGCCACAAGGAAATAGCTTCAGAACAATAATAAGTGGAGTTATATGCCCAAGTGGACTAAAAGCAATAATTGTTAGTAGCCACACGAAGCAACCCGAGTTCGAATCCTATTAAGGAAAAACTTTTTAATTTAATTATTTAGTATAACAGGAATTGACATAGACTGTGAATCCAATAATACATACTACAAAAGTTATATACTCTATTAAGAAATAAAATTAAAAAACAGTCATTGTAATTTACAATAGAGAATGTTTTGTGTTTTGTTTGAATGGAAAATATTTTATCCTGGTTTAACAGAGTCTAGAATAACACAGGTTTAAAATGTTCTTCCACTTCCAACAGTATAATAAATTAGATGTTTAAGATGTTAACATAATATGCTCACATAATGAGATATGATCCTTTAACATAAAATTAAGTGAAGTTAATAAAGATAAAATTTTAAATATTTAAAAAGTAATTAAATACGCTTTCAAGCACAATTTATTTAAGATTCTATAAGGGATTTTTTATTAAAACGTTTAAAACATTTAAAACAAAAACCATTTAGAGTTAGCATGTAGAATATACTTACAGTTTATACACTTATTAAAATTTTCTATTTTTCCCATACACTATCTTTTTTACCAAATTGAAAATTTCATATTATATTATTTGACATGTTATAATTACAAATGTCACGAAAGAATCCGAGTCATTTCACCGTCATGTCAGTGGCACAGTTGATTTTAAACTTAGAAGGATTGATTTTCAATTAAAAATGTAAATTAATATTATATTTTACTATATAATATTTATTTATTAACTAATAATGACAAAAAAATGACAAAAAATAAAATTAAACAATGTGAATAATTTATAATAGAGAACCTTTAGTGTTATTGTTACAATACAATATTTTATCTACCACTGGTGGCTAGACAAAATCTAGAAACGCTGAGAGAAGTGTTAACTTTATTAGACGGGGCTGGAAAACATTTTTATATAAAAAAAATTATTTAAAAATTCTTTTACAAAAGGCATAACTCCCTATCGGGCTCCATCAGAACGTTTTCGGAATTAATATTCCATCATCAGTGCTATCTGGATGTACATGTTTAGATCCACTAAATACATTGAGACTAGAATATTGTAACGTTACACACCTTCACTACCCGGGAAGAAAAATTTTTGAGCACAGTAAAAAAAGGTTATTTTTTAAGTACAAAAAGGAATGCAAGTAATTTAATTTAATTAGTCAAATAATCAATCATTGAGACAGTAATCGAAAGTGAAATTAGTAATTAGTATTAGTATTTACTGTTTAAAACCCATGAAATATTATATTTAAGATATGATCCAGAACAACTACTTCAAGGAGAGTACCTAATGAACAGTTATTTAAATAACTAAATCACTAAGTGTGTTTTAAGGCGACATTCAAAATAAAAATTATTTGAAAAAGTTTTAAGTGTATGGCGGGTAATAGTTTTATAAAAGGTATAACTCCCTATCGGACTTTATCAGAACGTTTTGTGAATTAATATTCCGTCATCAGTGCTATCTGGATGTACATGTTTAGATCCACTAAATACATGGGTAAAAACCTTTTAAATGTTGTTAAATTCAATTTGGGTTACATAATTTGTTTTTTATATACTAAGACGTTGAAGTTACAACAGGAATAGATAACATGGCAACGTAAGACTCTACTGGAGGTTGCCAGTCCTGAGACAAAGTGTCTACGAGGACATATTGATAGCAACTGACTTATTGAGTGGCAGAACATGGTGCCATCTGTCTTTTAACCTACTGGTTTATGTGTGAGTTTTTCTTCTCTTAGAAGATGATAGGTTACACTGATCACACTTTGCGTCATGCATCAATCTTTGGAGTCGTAAAACTAGACGATACTTTGGGGACTAGAATTTAATATAAATAATAATCTATAATTAGCTGTAAAAAAAGTAAAAAAAAAATAAATACTGAAAGAACAAAAAAAATTCTTCCTATTATTTTATATAATCCTCTTATGGTTTTTCAATAAATGGCCTCTTTTACACCTGACATCAAATCGAGCTTTCTCTTTACAAATTCCACCAGAAATATCCCTCCACACTTTTTCTTTCTTTTTAAGGCGTCTTTTGGTGTTATGAAAAATAAATCGGGCATGTAAACACAAAATACTCGGTGAAGATTACCTGAAGTTTTGAATTTCTATTTGGCGTAAGTCGAATGTGGAAGCGAATAACGCAGTGGCGGGTTCAGATCGCTTCAATCGAGATGCATTTAAAATCAACATTTGATCTGTATTCCACACAAAGTACCGCACCATGAAAAATATTTTATACATTCTAGTTTAAAATTACCACAAACTTCAAAAACACTACGAACAAATTGAAACATATTGCAAACTCAGTGATAGTCCAGGAAATGAAGGTTTTCACCCTGCAATTTTTTCGGAAAAGATCGATTTACTTGAAAATTTGAAAAAAAGCAGTAAATAGTCCAACAGCGAGAAGCCGCCTATATGTATTTCGGTCTCTTTAGCGGCTTGTCGCTACTCTGTATCGAATCAAAATCTAGTAAAAATTGCAATGTCATGGCTGATATAAATGGTATAAACAAAAACAAACATAACAGTCGAATGTTTACCATTGCTTTTCCATGTTTAGTTTGGTTGAAGACGAGTTATTTATATTATTTAAAAATGGAAATTAACCTTAATGATATCTTTGAGTCTTGTGGTGAAGCAAAGAGTCCATTGGTTGAAGGGGAAGCAGTTTTCAAGTGATGAATTCCTAAATTTTAACTTTAATTTTTTGAACTGGCTTGTGTATTGATGATGATGAATCCTATTTTGTGTATACCTGATAACCCAGAATATAATATTCTGTGTAATGTTTGTCTTAACTAATATATGCATTATTTTATATTATGCCTTATGTTTTTAATATGTTAATTTTTTTTATTGTATATTAACATAAATAAATAACTTAAACTTGACTTTATTGTAAGATAGTTCATTTGATTACATGAAATCAACCTTAACTTGAGATCGCCTGTCAGAAAATATCATAGCAAATGATTTGTCTTTAAAAAATTCCATAATAAATTATTTTTTTCTTCAAGTTTTTCAGTTTAGGAAAGAAAAATAGGGACATATCTTTTGTCGATCTTGAATTGCGTTGAGGTCCAGAATAATATCGATTTGATTTAAAATACTTTTTTCTACTCTCTTACTAGTAAATTGTATATTACCTACTATTTGGATGTTAAGTAAATGCATCATAACAGATACTGACACGTAATGACTAGCACGTAATAAAAAAAATTACGCTTCAGTTCTATAAAAATGTGTAATATCACATAAGCCTTGTAAGTCAGTTGGTCGAGTTACCATGGAAACGAATTAACAGGCGTTGTTTTGACAGGTTAAAAATTATTAATCTGTCAGTGTAAATATAGTGGTAATTTAATTTTTATTTTTATAAACAAAAATAATGGTAGAAAAAGTATAGTACACAACTTGAGTTGTAAGCTTATTACATAAAATTACTGCGCTCGCCGCTACGCGGCTCGCGCGCTACTTTTTTACTCGCATGTAATAAGCTTCTTACAACTCTCGTTATGTAATATACTATAACGTAGTCATAATGCTGAAATTTACTAAAAAAAAATTAATAATTCTATTCAAATCAACAGCTGTCTGGTTTGTTTATACGACTTTTATGCCCGGTATTATAAAACATTTTACTTGCCAAGTAAAATTTAGTTTGAAAGTAATAGTATATTACTTTATGAGGCGGAGAAGCATGACTTTTCTTGACGCAGGGCAAGTCAAGAAAAGTCGCTTCTTTGCCGAATAAAGTATACTATTTTTTCTTCAAACGTAGCAATTTTCAACCATAAATAGTACAATTCATACGCTATTTTTACTCGAAATTAACTGTGACAATTATCAAAGTCGTCTATTATAGATCTTAGAAATTAAAATAATTAAGTCGTCGCGTCGGTGGGATTTGCGTCTCCCTGGTTACAGTTAGACAGCTTAATGTTCGCAAGCCGCCAACATCGGGAATGATTGCTGAAAGTTGTTTTCGACCATCAGTATCATCAACAATTACCAATGCGTATCAAGAGTCGGGAACATTTTTGCACGGTTTTAATTTTGAAAATGCCTCATTAACTAATTGTACTTTTAATATTACTATAAATAAAAATGATGTTTAATTGTTGTTAATAACATTTGTATTGTTGCTTTGTGACATGTTTCATATTGTTGCCATGACGACATTTTTCCCTCCGCCGTAAAGAAAATGGGAAAAAAACTGCTGCCGGCGGAGACATCAAACTTTGACAGGATCAAGTTAGATAAGTAATGCCATCATTTGACGTTTGAAGAAAAAATAATTTACTCAACAGATTTGCGTATTATAAACGCAAAGTAAATTAATTCTGGAAGTAAATCTGCGAACTAAACTATTCGTTAGTTTTCTACCAAGTAAATTTTATTTAACAAGTAAATATGACACTAATGACAGTTTCAATGTGTTTTCGGCTGGTGTGAAAATATAGTAATAACGTTATGTTTTAGATTATAAACATTATATTATATATTATAAAACTTTAGATTATAAACGTTATCTGTGATACACCACATCAGTTTTTAGAATTTAACGTAAATGCAGGTTAAAGTGCACGTTATTTATAACGTTTTTGATACATCACAGGGCTGAATGTTACGATTCAAATTACGTCACAAGAGTACAGTTCCGGCTTAATGTTTATTGGTTAGGCGGAAGAGGCAGCCGTAGTAAGTCTACGAACCGTGGTTTGGAGTACCAGAAATTGAATTCACTACGAATTTTGACCATGATGAATGGCATTTTGAATGTAATCTTAGATTCCCTTGTCGATTTATTCATAAAGCTGGTTGCTTTGCAAGTTTTAGAAAGCACGGTCTTTAAGATTTGAATTCGATTTCGCCAGGTAGAAATCGTATTATTTCTCTTTTTATTCTTAGATGGTGTAGTTACGTCTGTATATAGTTATTTTTGATAACTACTGTCTACGATGGGAATAGATTTTGTTTCGATACGGAGTAGTGGCTATACCGTACTGAGGAGACATAAATAGGTCGAAATACGTTTATGCGGCTTGTCGCTGCTCTGTATCGAATCAAAATCTAGTACCGTCATTATGTTTTAAAAGATATTATGTTTTTTATTTTATGAAAACGGGGTTGTGGTATAGATTAAGTTTCAACTTTAAGATAATAAACAATATTTACGAAATTATTGGTTTGTTTGTAGAGATCTTGTCCCGTAATATTTGAATATCACGATAATGAGTTGTCGTCACATATTCAATTTTCATAGCAGAAAATTAAAAGTAGTAAATATTAATTTATTGATTTGACTTTTTATTAATTTTTCTCTGTTTAAATAATACAAGTATTTTTTAAATTACAGGTGTGCCTCTTATCCACGATTTAGATCGCTGAGTTGTTAAATAATGACTGAAATAAAAGATTTAGATGACGAGAATGATGATGCTTTTGAGTTTCAAATATTTGAAAATGACACCGATGACGATGATATTTAAAAAACTGTATTTGATGAAGAACCTGTTCCTTCAACAACCTCTTCTTCGGTAAGGAGGCAATGGAAAGACACGACATTTTGGCAAAA